GGACGGGGTTGAGGTGAGTCATATATTTATATATACAGTAATAACGTTAAGTCAACGGCATTCATAAACACGCTGAAAAGCGATTATGCGTCTTGATAGCACGCCAAAAATGGAAATACGAATTGGCGTGTCATACACACGCTACTTCATGAGATCAGTCTGAAATAAAGCAAATCACTTTTTGAAAGTAAATTGGTGCTTCAAATAACAATTATTTTGATTAGATCACAGAGGGCGACGTGTCTTTTTAAAACATTTATTTGGCTTTGAATCATTAATTTTTAGAGATTTGTTCCAAAATGCTAATTTATCCAGTAATGAAACAAATTAAGTATTTATGAGTGAGCCATTTAATCGTTAATTTAAGTTTTTTTTTTAATAATTTAGGTAAATTAAACATTTCAAATAGACGTTTTGTCAGAACCTGTTGTTAATTACATTATATTGTTTGGTTGTTTACTCAGAATTTTCAGTTAATATTAAAACAAATTTTTTTTTTGATTCTCAGTGTATCCAGATGCATGCAGCTCTAGTTGTCAGTGTTATGCAGTTTCTGTGGTGTTTTAAGTTGTTGTGAGTGTGTTGCTTTGTAGGTGCTTTTGTAGCATTTTTATTTTTAAATATTTGTACAGTCAAGTAATAATGCAAGAATGTGGACGTGGACACCGAGTATTCGAGGTGTAGGAGTGTGTGTGTCTGAGAAATGTTTGCATAATGTCTGTTGTGCAGCACACATACAAATAGAGTCTGTGCAAAACAAAGCCTGAACTGTTAGAGGCCTCATGAACGAAACAACAGTCGCTTATTGAGCAACTTTCACTCACGGCTGGTCTAGACAGGATGATCACAACATTTTAGCTTGAGTGAACCGTGACGATAAGAGTTCTTCAGAAAGTTTTGTGGTAAAGATTATTATTATTATTATTGGACATTATATCATTTCATCCTAACTACCATTTTTTTTCATCCCCCTTATTTTCTATCTTAAGAATAAAGATATTACCAAAAACATTCGTTTAAAAATCTTTTTATTAACTTTGTTCAAAAGAACAATTTACATTTCTGAAAGAGAATCATCGTTCATAACCTCTCATCCTTAGGATGACCCCCAACTTGTCTTGATGATGTTTAATGAACTTATTGGCATTAATTGCACCAAAACAGTCAACCAGATTTTTTTTTTAATTTAATATAGTTAATGTATGTGGAAAACCACTGTCAGTGTGCCATGTCTGGATAAATTGCGGGTGGTCATGTTGTGATTGTAAATAAGATTAAGAAACTTTTTTTATTATTATTATCAATGTTGAAAACTCAATGCTGAAATACTTCATATTTTTGTTGAAACAGTGATGCATTTATTTTCAGGATTATTTGATAAATACAAAGTCCAAAATAGCAGAATTAATTTGAAAAAAGTAATCATTTGTAACATTATAAACGTTTTATGGTCACTTTTAGATCATTTTAATGCGTCCCTGATGAATTAAAAAGACGCTGACCAAAAACGAATGTATTAAAAACCTTTTGAATTTTTTTTTAAAATCAATTATCAACATTATTTATTTAATTTTTTTAGCTGTTCAGATTTTTTTAAAAACTATCACATATGCCAAGAAATCTGATTTCTGTTGCCTGTCAGAATAAAGCCATAAAGATGGGTGTACTGTAATAAATAAGACTGCATTTTCATTAACAGTGTTTAGTACAGTGGTTGATAAGAAGAATACAAGCACAACAAAACCACAAACTACATAACGAAACCAATATCAAGTGTAGTAGAAGTAGATGAAAGAAAAGAATAAAGTGATTTCTCGTACCTGGTCTGTTTTCGGTACCCGACAGCAACTTCCAGCGTCATGTTGTTTCCAGCATCTCTCCCATTGAGAGACAAACGCTCAACACAGACCCTGCGAGGCTCAATCCCTCTTTCATCCCTTTAACACTGAATCCTCTGTTTCCTTTCCCCGCTTCACTCTCAGCTCGCACACTCTTTCTTCTGATGTCCGTAAAGTGACATTTAGCTTCATCTCTGATGCTATAGGACAGAAAAATCACAAATCAAATCTATCTTATTGCTGTCCAGGAGAAGAATCTAAAATATGAGATTTACATTGTTAGAAAAAAAGAAGTCGTCTCCATTTGCTCTCCTTGAAACAAATGCTGGTAGACAATATTTTGTTTGCTGGGAGACATTTGTCTCCTCTAGTTTCAGAAGAGAAATTGGTGTCGTTTAAAGCCCTTTGAAGCTGCACTGAAACTCTCATTTGGACCCCATTGAAGTCCATTATATGGAGAAAATCCTGGAATGTTTTCATCAAAAACCTTCATTTGTTTTCAACTGAGGAAAGAGAGACATGGACATCTTGGAATACATTGGGGTGAGTAAATTATCAGCAAAAGTTTTTTTTAAAGTGAACTACTTCTTTAATGACATTTTTGAAAGAAACCGGTCTGATGGAGCGAGTATAAAGGTTATTGCTAATTATAAATTTATTATTATTTCCAAATTTTTCTCTCTCTCTTTCCTCACATTCTGCCAAATCTTTTGATTCACACTCCCGTTCAGTAGGTGGCGGTAAAGCACCTAATAAGCTGGTTTGCCAGCCGCCATTAAAACCATAAGAAGAAGAAGTGTGATATGGGCCGTTTCTCAATATGCCTTCTTGTCTGTACTTCAGTACAAAACGTCATCAGTCGCGGCCCAAGTACTGTCCCAATACACAAGTTTGCATTTAGACAAGAACGGTTAAAAATCCCGGATGTGTTCTTGACACTCCCATTTTACCGAGGATGCATCGGTTGGTAACTTGTGTGAACTTGACGGCAGAAATATCCCATAATTCATTTCGGCAATCACAGAAGGAGCGGGAAGCAGAGAGGCAGGTCAAAAGTTACCTGAATATTACTGAATATTACCAGCGTTTTTTTCCGCCGTTGGCTAGTGATGTACACAAACAAACAACAGAAGTAGAATTAAAATGAAACAGGTGTTGCTTTATTGTTATGAATTTACATTACACTGTAGTGTATGTAGAGTAATCCCTTAGGCTTGGGCGATAAAGCCTGGCTGTAATTCTTGTTATGTTTAGGCACTGCAGACGGCGTCTGTGCGTACTATTGCGCAATACCAACAAGAACACATCGTCTCAAACTGTCAGCAGCGTTCTGTGTGCTCGTCACCTCGTGAGTTCGTTCTTCCTAAGAACAACTAGCAAGAGCTTTCTTCCCAAGAACACAAGTCCGTTCTTTGCATTCTTGGTTTTGAGAAACGGCCATAATCTTTGATGTGTCATTTAAAACGAATCCTCTCCTGGATAACACCTGTTAAAGTTGTTTGCTGACCGCCATTAAAACCAAGAAGCAGCATGATGACTTTGTGTCATTTAAACTGGAATTTCTCCTGGATAACACCTGTTAAAAAGTTGTTTGCCGACCCCCATTAAAACCATGAGAAGAAAAAGCAGAATGATGATATAATCTTTGATGTGTCGGTTTTCTCCTGGATAACACCTGTTAAAGTTGTTTGCCAATCACCATTAAAAGAGTCAGATGATGATGAAGAAGAAGATAACACCTGTTGAACGGCGTAAGTATTTGCAGCTTGAACCTTTTGTTTCTTTTTCTCTTTTACATGATTGAACACTTGAACATAAACATGACAGACTTTACATGTTTTGTAAGTGGGAAAACCTGCAAAATCAGCAGTGGTACTCTTCAACTGTAAGTGATGGAATGTAAAACATTTTTTTTTTAAGTAACTAGTGCAATGCCAGTGCAAAATCAGTGTTTGTTTGTTTTTAGTAATTTTGGTATGTTTGAGTTGCATAATACCTAAAGAATAAAATATTTTTAAATAAGTGTGAGTTTTCCTAGATCTTGAAACTTTCAGGTTTGTAAATGGGGGTCCTCTTTGAAGGATGAACAAATAATGTTTTGGTCATCACATTAAAAATAACTTTTAAATATATATTTATTTATATAATATTTGAATTTTGAAGTGCTGGAAAAAGATGTGTGAAGTACTTGAAAGCATTTCACCATTCCAGCCAAACTGGTTCCAGTTAGTGTTACTATATTAAATCCATGGTGAATGCTGGTCTGTGGACGAAAGTATTACTATTTCATTCACGACACAACATTGGTGTTTCTCCTGGTTTCCACGTCAGCGCTGTTTGATCTAATAGAGATCGACGGTTAATAACGGAGAAATGTGAATGCTTCTCACTAGATCTCGCAGCGATGTTATTACCTCAGTGGCGAATTCAAATGTTTTCTTTACCGGATCTCTTAGCGCGGTGTGGTAACAGTGTTGCTTGATCGAGATCGGCTCGCGCTGCACAGATGTTGCTGGTCCGAACTGATAAACGATCCGTGAAGCACATAACGAGTAGCGCAGTTTCGTTCTGCTTTCATTACGCTTGCCATTTGATGTTGCGCAACGTTGTGTTGGCCGCGTCAGCACGAATTTTGCCGGCAGGAAAAATGGTCCAAGCAATCGTTCGGTTTGTATGCGTACCGAACCGGAAGCCTCAAACCGAAACGGTTCAATACGAATACATGTACCGTTACACCCCTAGTGACGAGAGCAACCCATCTGTCTTCTAGTGCTGTGGCATGAGAAATCTGAATCATTCCCTTCTGAAACACTCTCCAGAGGCGGAGAGTGTGAGTAGGAGCTGTCCATGAGCTAGGAGGAGATAATTTTGCTAGGTTTTCTGATTAATCATTTTGTCATTTTGCCTCCACGTTTCCCAGATTGCGCGCAAGCTTCTTCTCATGTCCATACGGTAATCTCGCTACGGTGTGACAGAGAGTCGCGTGGGTATGACGCAATCGTTAGCCTACTTTCACTAAAACTGCTTCTACGGGGCCATAACATAAGCTACAAGGCAATGGAGCTATTTATACATTTGTCGTGTTTCTTTAGAAATAAATAAAGGACAAATGGGGTCTTCAAACGCCTCAGATGTAAAGTTATTCGCTGTTAAAGTGACGCCAAAATGAATGGGAGTCAATGGGAATGCTAACGCAAGTGAAGTTCTGCTACTTCCGGTCGATGGATTACCCCCTTGATCTAGTCCCTCCCTGTGAAGGCCTTCTTCCCTTTACCTCTGCACTGAGGGTCGTGAGACTGATTAAGGTCGTGAGACCGAAACGTTGCTAATAATTTTTTTTTTAAACGGATGTGTTGATAGTGTGCGGGACTTCCTCGTTTGCAGATTGTCGACCGATCTTTTTTTGGTCGTTTTTTCCTACGCACCTATTATCTGCATGTGTGCGATGGTTTTTTGTTAATTAACTTAACAAACTGAACATAACTGTGACAATAGTGTCTTATTAAATGAATCCATAACGGTATTCTGTAACTGCATGCATCACTCCACGACACGTCAACTTCCCTTTTACAAGTTAAACTGGGTAAAAAAAAGGATGACTGGGAGGGTCATGCATGAATCTGGGCTGAACCCAATCTGTAGATAAATACTCAAGACACTTCTAGTCACGATCATCTGTAAGACAAACATCTGACCTACTCTCTGAAAACACCTGTTGAACATCGTGAGTATTTGAAACCTTTTGTGTCTTTGTCTCTTTTATGTGATTAAACACTTAGTAGTAATAAACTGTTGTAATTTAGTGTTAAAAACAATGAAGCGGTGAAGAATTTGTCTGCTAAATGGAGTAACGGATTTCCTTTTGCACTTTTTCCTCCAGACCTGCAGCAAGATGTTGCTTTTATTTTTCTGTCTGCTTTCTCTGACGGCAGCGGCGACTGAAGGTACCGCATTTTACACGATTAGGTTTCACGGATTTGTATGAGTAGGATTGTGTGTATAGTAAAATATGGTTAATTTTGTGTGTTCTCTTGCAGTGGGTCTCGGTGGTAAAGTGCTTCTGTTTCCAACCAAGACGGAGACAAGCTTTGTTAAACTCACTCCTGAAAAGCCCCTGAGTCTCTCAGCATTTACTCTCTGCATGCGTGTGGCGACGGAGCTCCAGGGCGAGAGGGAGATCATTCTGTTCGCCTACCGAACATCCAGCGTCGACGAGCTCAACGTGTGGAGAGATAAAAATGGCCGCTTTATTTTTTATATTCAGTCTAGTACTAATGGAGTGGTTTTCCACCTGCCTCCTCTCTCCACGTTCCAGACTCACCTGTGCGTCACCTGGGAGTCTGCGACCGGTCTTGTTGCTTTTTGGGTGGATGGACGGCGCAGTGCGTTCCAGATCTATAAGAAAGGTCAATCAGTTCGTCCTGGCGGCACCGTTCTGCTCGGCCAGGACCCTGATAAATATGTGGGTTCCTTTGACGCAGAGCAGAGTTTAGTAGGTGAAATTACAGATGTGAACATGTGGGATCATGTTCTCTCTGCCATTCAGATTAAGGCGGTTTATTCTAACCAGGAACCGTATGTGCCGAAGGGAAACGTGTTTGACTGGAACACCATCAAATATGAGACCAGAGGAAATGTGCTAGTGGTTGAAAATAAGTGATTCAGATCTGATTCCTCCACACAATCTTTATGATCTGTTAATCTGTTTTAATGAGTGACGAAGCTGTAAGGGTTAACCAATAAATATTCTCAGCATTACAACTGCAGTGTCTGTGCATCATTTGGAAGAGTTGAATGTTGAAAGTTGAAATGTTGAATGTCTTAGTGGTCTATGTATTAAATTAGCATATTACAGTACCACTCAAAAGTTTGGACCATATTTTATTGTTTTTGAAAGAAGTCTCTTACGCTCACCAAGGCTGCATTTATTTGATCAAAAATACAGAATAAAAAAGTTATATTGTGAAATATTATTAGAATGTAAAATAATGATTTGCTATCTTAATATACTTTCAAATTTAATTTATTCCTGTGATCAAAGCTGAATTTTCAGCATCATTACTCCAGTCCAGTGTCACATGATCTTTCAGAAATCATTCTTATATGATGATTTGATACTGAGTAATCAATATTGGAAACGGTTAGTAATTGTATTAATTGTTTTGGAACCTGTTTTTTCAGAATTAAATGATGAATACAAAGTTAAAAATATTTATTTAAAAAAAGCATTTATTCAAAATAGATTCTTCTATCACAATACAAGTCTTTACTAACACTTTTTAAAATCAGTTTAACATATCATTGCTGAATAAAAGTATTAATTTCTTTAAAAGAAAGACAAATGACTGACCCCAAACTTTTGAACGGTAGAGTATAATGTTACACAACATTTCCATTTTAAATAAATTCTGTTCTTTTTATTCATCAAATAATCCTGGAAAAGAGATAAAAAAATATTAAGCAGAACAACTGTTTCCAACATTGATAATAAATCATGGTAACACTTTATTTCGATAGTCCACTTTAGACATTCTACTAACTATAAGTAACTTTTCAACTACATGTCAACTAACTGTCATTAGAGTATTAGACTGTCAGCTTAATATCTGCTAACACTTTATTTTGTTGGTCCCCCAACAGACATTCAACTGACGACAAGTAAACTTATTCTCCTAACCCAAAGCCTAACACCTAGACATAACCAAACAGTCTACTGTAATATACGAATACTCTAATGACAGTTAGTTGACACGTAGTTGAAAAGTTACTTATAATTAGTAGAACGTCTAAAGTGACTATCGAAATAAAGTGTAACCAATTGTTTTAGCAATGAATGGTAGGAGAGAGACTGAGACAGGTCTGTAGTTTACTAAGAGAGATGTGTTCAGTGTTGTTTTTTTTAAGCAGTGGAGTTACCCGAGCCTGCTTAAATGCTGGAGGGAAAATGCCAATGTGGAGGCATGAGTTTATGATGTGTGTGAGAGCTGGAAGAAGTGTAGGAGAGATTGCTTGGAGCAGATGTGATGTGATGGGATCAAGAGGTCAGGTGGTAGGATGACTGGAGAGAAGCTTAGATACTTCTACCTCGGTTAGTGGTGTGAAGGAGAAGAGAGGGTTGTTGGCTTGGGGAGAGGGTAGTCTGGGATCCTGTGTGTGTGTGATGCTGAGAACTGACTGCTGATAGGTGTAGTTTTGAATGTTTGATTAGAAGTCTGTCAATAATTGTTTTGGGATGATTTTAAGTGTAAAGTCTCAGTCTCAGTGGGTTTAAGAGATTTCAACCATGGGGTCATTCAGAGGAGGAGGTCTGTCTTGGGATCAAACAACCTCTGCTGTTGTCTTGGTGGGTCCTGAGCCGTGGCATCTCTGAAACAATCAGTCTTTTCCAAAATATCTAATGTTGACGACGTTCTCCTTTAGTTGGGCACATCTCTTTGAAGCTTTAGAACTGGCTGGAGCCCACTCCATTTATGGCCCGAAATTAGACTGGTGTTTTGGTGGTCTTGAATGTTGAGTTTTGTGTGGAATTATGTTCAATTGAATCGCCTGGAAGATTCATTTGTGTCTGGTTCGTCCTCAATTCCTACAAATAGCACTGAATGTCTGCGTTTCAGATTTGGGTTTTGCCTGTGCAGATTGCATTTATAGTTAGACGTGTAACCAAGAGAGTTGTCTATGGGTGAAAAACAAGCAATTGTTAAACTGAGAGAAAATCCATCAGAGCCATTGCACAAACATTGGCCATAGCCAGTACAACCATTTGGAACGTCCTGAGGAAGAAAAAAACCACTGGTGTATTAAGTAACAGACCTCCAATGGGTAGACCAAGGAAAACGTTCATGTAAGTCCATGTGTGGTCAGTTTCTGGCTAGATTACACATACGCATCTGTATCCAATGGATAACAAATAGACTTCACCATCCAAACACAGAGGCCCTTCCTAATGAACAACAGATGTGGCCAGTACATTCACACAGGACATAGAACAACTGGGTTAGAAAAAAGGCTCATACGTGAATCTGGCTGAACCCAATCTGTAATAAATACTCGACACTTCTAGTCACGACCATCTGTAGACAACATCTGATCTACTCTCTGAAAACACCAGTTGGAACATCGTAAGTATTTGAAACCTTTTGTGTCTTTGTCTCTTTTATGTGATTAAACACTTAGTAGTAATAAACTGTTGTAATTTAGTGTTAAAAACAATGAAGCGGTGAAGAATGTGTCTGCTAAATGGAGTAACGGATTTCCTTTTGCACTTTTTCCTCCAGACCTGCAGCAAGATGTTGCTTTTATTTTTCTGTCTGCTTTCTCTGACGGCAGCGGCGACTGAAGGTACCGCATTTTACACGATTAGGTTTTACGGATTTGTATGAGTAGGATTGTGTGTATAGTAAAATATGGTTTATTTTGTGTTTTGTCTTGCAGTGGGTCTCGGCGGTAAGTGCTTCTGTTTCCAACCAAGACAAGCTTTGTTAAACTCACTCCTGAAAGGCCCCTGAATCTCTCAGCGTTTACTCTCTGCATGCGTGTGACGATGGAGCCCCAGGTCGGGCGGATATCATTCTGTTCTCCTACCGAATATCTTATACCGCCGAGCTCAACGTGTGGAGAGAGAAAGATGGCCGCTTTTCTTTTTATATTCAGTCTAATAATGAAGGAGCATTTTTCAACCTGCCTCTCTCCACGTTCCAGACTCACCTGTGCGTCACCTGGGACTCTGCAACCGGTCTTTCTGCTTTTTGGGTGGATGGACGGCGCAGTGCGTTCCAGATCTATAAGAAAGATAAGTCAGTTCTTCCTGTGGCACCGTTCTGCTCGGCCTGGACCCTGATGAATATGTGGGTTCCTTTAATTCAAGGCAGAGCTTTGTTGGCGAAATTACAGATGTGAACATGTGGGATTATGTTCTCTCTGGCAGTCAGATTAAGGCTTTGCATTTAAACCAGGAACAGAATATACCGAAGGGAAACGTGTTTGACTGGAACACCATCAAATATGAGACCAATGGAAATGTGCTAGTGGTTGAAAATAACTGATTCACATCTGATTTCTCCACACTGTTGTGTCAGTCGTTATGATCTGTTCTAATGAGTTTCAAAGCTTGTAAGGGTTAACCAATAAATATTCTCAGCATTACATCTGCAGTGTCTGTGCATCACTTGGAAGAGTTGAATGTTGAAAAAGGGGGTTTAGTGGTCTATATATTAAATTTGCATTTTACAGTGCCAGTGAAAAGTTTGGACACTATTTTTAAATGTTTTTGAAAGAAGTCAAGTCCAGTCACATTTATTTATATAGCGCTTTTAACAATACAGATTGTATCAAAGCAGCTTCACAGTGAAAACATGAAAATAATACAACACAGATCAATAATATTGTTGAATATTAAATGTCCCCAACTAAGCAAGCCAAAAGCCAAGGCAAAACAAAACAAATTGGATCGAAACATTAGAGAATTTGTCCATTTCCATCTGTTTGTAAGTCGAAGTAATCATTCACGCCGGTTTGAGACGAGATGTTGAGGATCAGTGCCGATGGCTGTCGTGTCGATGAGGCCGGCACTTCAGGATGAGTCGGGATGGGTCCAGGCGCAGGTCCACCATAGAGGGTCCCTCGGGTTAAACAGAGAAACTAATATTAGCGTAGACGCCATCCTTTTGATGTACCAAGTACATCAGGATTTACGGGACGTGTTCCCGTTCAGGCTGATCTAAACTATGCAGCCTAATTTTGAATTTAGGAAGTCTATAGTGTGTTGTGTATGCTTGGCCAAAGAGATTTGTTGGCTTTTTATGCCAACACATAAGTCTCTTATGCTCATCGAGGCTGCATTTGTTTGATCAAAAATACAAAAAATGCTAATATTGTGAAATATTACAATTAAAAATAATGCCATTATCTTAATTTACTTTAAAATATTGTTTATTCCTGCAGTGAAAGCTGAACTTTCGGCATCATTACTCTGGTCTGCAGTGTCACATTACAGTTCTCATTCTAACAGGAGAACATTTTTTAAAAAGACATTTTTATTTTTTTCGTAATAATGTCTTAGTTTTTCAATATAAAGACTGAATCGTATGTGGCGAGTTGGTGAATTTTTACTTAAGTAGGACCTCTAAAAGATTACAGTTATATCGATAATTTGATGAATATTTTGTCCTGGAAAATAGGAAAGATAATAGGAAAGAAAAAATAGGAAAGAAAAACTCAAAATTTCGCCCCCCGAAAAAAAACGACAGTGTTACCCCTTTTGTTTTTTTTCGGGGGCGAAATTTTGAGTTTCTCCAATCTTTTCAAAACTCTGGATTCTGATAGAGGGCCATGAGACTTAGACCTGAGTGCAAAAATGGAGTCTCTAGACCCTTCCTGAGCTGAGATATTGAGATCCCATGTAGGGCCGTCCCGAAATTCAACCGTCCGCGAACCACTATTTTATAATGGGATAAGTGCTACGTGGGATTCAGATCTCAGCTCGGGAAGGGTCTAGAGACTCATTTTTTGCACTCAGGTTTAAGTCTTATGGCCTCTATCAGAATCCAGAGTTCTGAGAAGATTGGGAAACTTATTTTTTGCCCCAAAAAAAAAAAACATAAGGGGTAACACTGTCGTTTTTTTTTCCGGGTCGAATTTTTGAGTTTCGATATCTCAGCTCTGGAAGGGTCTAGAGCCTCCATATTTGCACTCAGGTTTAAGTCTCATGGCCCTCTATCAGAATCCAGAGTTTGAGAAGATTGGGGAAACTTTTTTTTCGCCCAAAAAAAAAAACGTAAGGGGTA